AATCCAAAGGAAAATAAATTTAGCTCAAAACTGTAATGAGGAAGAAAAAAAGCTGAGTTGCAAAGCTGGCAAATGCTAATAATAATTTGCATCTGCCCCCGACTCAGAGTTTTGAATCTAGCAACCATTTTTAAAGAATGATCTAAATAAAGGCATTTTTATGACTTTCTTCAATGCAGTTTTTCTCTTACTGGAGTAAAGACTTCACTGATGTGAACATTCACACAAGAGTAATTTGTGGCAATCCCGGCAGCTTCAATTGCCCAAATCACACCACCTCAAGGTCACGTTTCTGTGCTGAACCCCTAAAATCAAGAAGGCAAGAAGGGGAATTTAAAAATGGCAGAAGCTCATGCAGTCCTGAATTTTTCCAGGTATGACATTTATATATATGCTTACATGTAAAAGCGCATGTGTAGGGTAAAGAAAATATCAGGCTTTTCTGCCCTTCCGCCATCAGGATAGATGATGGATCCTTGTCCTGAATGCATGCCTGATGGCGGGCACCTGGAGTAGGGTGTGGGCATAGGTAGATGGGATTCAGCTGAGCTAAGACTGTGCTTTTAAGGGCGGCGTCACGGGGGGGACGCCAGCAGCCCCAGCCAGCAGCAGCAGAACCTGAAGGAGAAGCCGAAGCAGAAGCAGAGAACGCCAGAGAGCCCAAATAGAGTGAAGACTTGCTGGGGGCTGGGAGGCCTGCCAGCCTCCCAGCCCCCCAGCCAGCACCCCTGCCTGCCATATGCCTGGTGAACCCCAAATAAAAAACCTGCAAAACTACTGAGGACTCTGACTCCTCCTTTACCCGGTCTGCATGGGATCAGAAAACCTGCCTTGTGCCCTGTCCTGCCTTTACAGCATGTTATCTGTATTACATATAAATGTGAACAATAATAGCTTTTAAATTGCTTTTTAAAATTTTCCTGGGCAAATGTGCTTTCCAAATATAACTTCTCTCAGTCAGAATTGAGCAATAGAACCAAGAATACAATAACCCTTATTCATTCATTGACTTATTTTCTGAGTGTCTGCCATATTCCAGCCACTGTATTAGGACGGTGGCGTTGGGTAAGCAGTGACTTGACAGTGTTGATCATTAAGCAGAAGGTACAAAATAAGAATGATAAAAATATTAATGATGACAATAACAGCAATAATAAATTATAACCAGTATTACAGAGTGGTGATCAGGGCCTTAAGGGAATCTAACAGAACAAGAATGTAGACTTTGCTGGGAAGAATTTTAAATTTTTAAAGCTTTGCTTCAAATGCTCTCCTGCAGCAGCTGAACATGATCAATTTTCATACTGTCCAGAATAACCTGCATGTCAGGGTGGGGTCACACAAGACAAGGTAGAATTTTCCCCAGCTCCTTAGGGAGACACTCATAGAAGCTTAAAGCCTTCCAAGCAGTTGGGGACAGATCAGGGCACCCTGAAAATACATTTCAGGATCGAATAAGCCTGTGTAAGCCCCTTCGTGGGAGTGGGGGAAGCAGGAAGGAGGGGGGATCTGGCCGAACCAAGGTCGAAGGAGAGACTGTGGGTCTTTGCCAGGCAGGTTGGGTGAAGGCCCTCGGTCAGGTGTTTGAGTTCCTGAATGTTCTCCTCCCTGACAGTAGTGTGTCTCTCTAACCTGCGCTTGTCTTTACTTGTGAGGGGTTTAGACCTTGACTCAGCCAACATAACTGTTGGGAGACTCTGCGGCCTGTTTTTCTATTCTGGCTCATGCTCCCCCATTCTCTGAGCAGGGTGACAGCCCCTTGGTCTCCTGTAGAAATGTTCCTTTGAGAAATCAGTGCTCTAAATAAAGCTTCAGACTTTCTGAGATATTGACTGACTGTCAGATAGCTCAGGAAATCTTTAGAGTTACTTAAAATCAAAATCAAAACCAAACTTTTGATGGAGGTAGAAGTCAAAACATTAATGAAAGTAAATAAAATAATCTCACTGTTTATCCCACCCCACCCCATTTTTCAAGCACGTTATGTTGTCAGGGAACCGGGTGAAACACCATTTGTCAGCTGCAGCCTAACAGCAGCAATGAAGGTGGGCAGCAGTCGCCCCCGGACCAGCTTGCACGGCCACACAGCTGTTGCATGACTTCATGCTTAATCCTCTGTATGTAAATGGTGGAAAAAGAATATGAAAGGAGCGGAAGGTCGTTTCATTCCAGGAATGGCCTAATCCTTCAAGTTAAAAGCAGCTTCTAGGCTTAAAATGGAACAGAATTTAGATATTCTGAAATTAAATATCAGTCCAGCCTTATGACTCATCACTGAGGGCGAACCAAATGTTTAAAAGGTTCTTGCTTTGCTTTATAGTTTGTGATGGTCTCTGATACTCATAATCACAAAAAATTACACTCTAAGTAATCACAGATGCACAGGGAGAGAATGGTCTCTCCTCATATTGATACAGTTAGATTTGGCTTTTTCTTTTCTTATGGCACAGGACATACCGCAGCAATCAAGTGCTAAGGTCTAACTTTACTTGTTGGATTTCTGCATTTATTTTATTGATAACGGACACATAATTTATGACCATGTGAGCTTTGTTCTGCACATATTCTGTGCCCATATTTAAGTTTTAGTGTTAATTCCTTCAGTAAATTTTATTTTAAACTAAATTACATTCTGCATATTTTGGGGAACATTTATTCTTTCATAATAATTTATAATTAAAGAAATAATAAAGTTTTTAATGGCATGGCTTTTTACGATTGTTAGAGTTTGGGTGGGCATTTTTATCTGATAGAGACTGATTATTTCATGAAAGGAAAATTTCCTCCTAAATGCAAAACCTGTTTTATTTTCTTCATATCTTCATTTACTTGTCATTCCATGAAAAATTTTCTGGAAGGTTTGTGACAGTTTAGTCTTCAGCAATTATAATTTGTTTTATGTATGGCGAACAATATATAGGTTTTGGACAGAATCTTCACACAGGGATTTTAGCTAATGCAATGCATGCATTATTTGGAATTATTTGGAAATGACTACATATCATTTTTTAATATAAAACTTTTGCAAAATACTAGGAACACATTCAAAACAGTGTAGCAGCAAAACCTGTCACACAGTGAAGCATATTTACGCCATGGCTACCAACCACCTAGTATATTTGTTTTATCTTTCTGGATTCTTCTACTTTAGGGTTTTCATCAACTTGGGCTACTTTTTTTCCATGCAAGGATTAGACAAGGAAATGCCTCTAGCCCTGAACTTCTTCAGGCTGCTGTTCTTCAGTAGCTCTTTCTCCCACTTCAACATCTGGTAAAGTAACCTACAGATAAAAAGTTATCTCCTGCAGGGAATGCAATTTTGGGCCTCTTTCTTCGTAAGGAGAGTTTCACATGAAAGCAGGCTGGTTACGAGCTACCCGTCTATTTTAATATAGCTTTGCTGAATTCCCTTGGGATACTCTTTACCTTCATTTGCAGGGGAATTGTCATCAGTTGTGCTTTCCTTGTGGTTTTTAGAGTAGTTTCTCTCTCTTCTGCTCTCTTCCCTTAACATTATTTTCTCTGAGCCAGTCTGTCTAGCTCAATCCTGGGTAAAAATAGCTCCAAGTTTGCATTTCTTGACTACTAATGTCTTGCTCTTGCTGGGTTATGTGAAACCCTTTCTGATGTTGAGCACAAGAAGCCCATGATTATTGGCACCACAGATTCTCACATTCTTAATCAGTTCCACCTGGCTAATAAACAGTAAAGCCAGGACAAGCTTCTCTTCTGTGTGGGTTTTCTGCTTTATGGGTAATAAAACTGTCCTCAATGTAATTTAGGAATCCCTTTGATGCCTGCTAGTTTACTGTATTGATATTTCAGGAGTGTTGGCAGTCACTGGTGAGACTTCATTATTGGCTTCTTCTAAACTGTAGCAGTGAGGTGGTGTGGGTACATGGTGGGGCATTCTCTTTTAGTTAGATCCATCGAGGAAAAAATGTAGAAATTGTCTTATTGGAACAAGCAAGGTCAGGGAGGGTGAGATTCCTTTCAAAGTCAGAGGAAGGAGAGAAGAAGGAAAAAGAGGGGGAAAGGAAGATGTAATGTAATTTTATGAACCGCATGAACATTCCAAGTTGTTTATTTGCGATGGTATTTGCTAAAGCAATATCGTTGCTAG